TAATTTGACGCACGCCAAGATGTCGTATGCGCTTAATTGTCATGCGCTATAATTTCCACGCCCAATTAACGTGCGCTGAAATTATCACGCACAATTGACGGTACACCGTTATTGATACTGTTTCAATATGGACGAACTACTCTTAATATTTCGAATTGGTTTCTAGTGTAAAGTTTTTGAAGTTTACTCTCATTGGTACATATTTAATATTTTTTTATTTTATCAAAGCAATTAGATTTTAGTTATAATACGAAAAAAAAATATATACCTAATTCATTATGGAAATCATCAGACATAATGACTCCTAAAATGGGTTGCAAATCCTCTATACCTACTATATAAATTGAAAAATCAAATTGCCAATATTTTTATGATTAAGGATTAAGCTGTGGCATCGGCGTGTTTAAAATATACTATGATATCGTACACCAAGGGGCCACTATCATCCCCCCTATCTTTATAATGTAACAATCCGATGCAAATCAAAGCATCTAAAAATAAGTAATGTGACGCTTAATCGTATATCTTTAAGTTTAAACGTACATTCTGGATAAAGTACAATACAGTAGWACAGTACCTTATGATGCCTCACCATCTAAAAAAGTTTATTATGATATATGTCATATATAAATTAGGTGATCGTTACTACTGGAATTAAAAACCAGATGACTACGTGATCGAAGTACAAACTACCGTATTACAGTATTACACACAGAGGTTATARTAGTCCGAAAATTGTAGAGATGCTTCAGTAGCACACTACTTTATTTAAAACAATTTAAGTTGATAGCACAGACCTGTATCGTACCAAATTATTCAACAATTGGTTAAACAAATAGTAGATTTTACATTAGAACCTAACATTTTTATGAATGTCTATTAATCAAACTCGTTAAGTAGTGACTACTACAGTGACGTACATAGGCATACCTAACTATAATTTCTGTAACGATAATTGAATAATTTATATTTTTCGATGTAGTTTAGTATGTATTATCAGCTATGACTTATGGTTTCCAAGACATTTGTTTAATGAAATTATTTATCATATTAGTACATTTAAAATATATTTAATTAGTACCTACAATTTCACGGAGCTAGATTGGTTTCCAACACATTTTAGTAATTTTTTATAATAACTGTGTGTTCAAGATATTATCAAATAATAATAATGATAATGTGTTTACYTTACAGACGATTTCATTGAGTATGTGGACGTTATTGGTAACTATGATAATCGGCTCCATAATACTAGATATTGAAGTAAGTTATTAAAATATGTTAACTAATATTTAACATACACAACCGATAAAAACAATGATATCCAATTATGTGTGCTAATATTAAAGTTATTAATAAAACAGCCAATCATAATATTTTTTTGTATTCGTTACTGAGAGTCGATATGTAGTGTATAACGTGTTAGACGTCCATCAATATAGAAACCTACTTCTTATTTAGGTTACATTTAAAGCAGAAGCTCTAGTTTTTTTAAAATAACGATTGCTCTTTTGCAAGACACAAATATTTTTAACCCTACCTACCATTTTTTTGGTAGCTTGTCCTAAGTCCTGAAAATGTAGTGAAGGGAAATATTTGTATTCGCAACTCATATGATTTTTTATTAAAAAAAATTCAGTATACGCAACTAGTATTATGATAACGAAACTCGTGTCCGCAATTGTTGTGTTATAATATTGAGCTGAATAATTTCGTCCGCAACTAGTATGTGTCCGTTATTTTGCTTCAATTTTTTTTTATTCTGAGCGCWGCAGTGGGTCGGATAACGGTTTTATAGTGGAATGGTTCCCGCCCCGTCCTATCCACCATRAATTTTTTGTTCTATACTTATATTATAAAAACTTTATTCCATAATATATTTGCTAGAATACATGTATTATATTTTTAAATTTTGAATGTGACTTATTATTATTTTGTAATGAAACATTACCTTTCCATAATTTCCACGAATGTATATATATATATATATTTGTGATTATAGTATTTACGATCACGAGGATTTTGTGATCAAATATGCGTGATCAAACAAAAGTGTACACATGTGTTATGTTTAGTTTAGGTGATATGCATATTAGCTCTTTCAGTGGAATGAATTGAGATCTTTCTTCCGGAATTTAATTTATACTTCATTCATAAACTCGGTAGAATTTAAAAATTAAAAAAATCCAGGTGAATTTCATCAAAGTATTAGACCACGAGTTCATTTTGGTATTRCTGTAGGATTGTAACCAGAGAACTACAACATTTTCCAATGCATACATAAGACTTCAAATAAGGAAAGGATTTGCATTGTTTGCCTTAGTATTGAATTAATTTAGTGGTAGGTTTTTACTAACGCTTTCAAAACAAAAAAAAAAAACTAAGCGATATTTTTCGTTATAATATACTCGTATCATTACATTGCGCTCCAGACGAATTTCGGCATCCCAATCATCACCCATAAGAACTGTTGTTTGTTTTGCCATATTACGAGATGATTCGTTGTTAATATAAGGTTTAAGTTTTTTTTTAATAAAACCCATTTGCTTGTTGGATTTTTTAACCTCTGTAATTTATACAATAATTGTTATATGTTTTCTCGTTTTTAGGTAATTTTMCAGTACTTCACGCCAACATTACCATTATGTCTTTTAACACCATGGCTCCGAGAATTGGGGTTTGTGATATTCTACGGCGCGATCGATCTGAAACTGTATAGGTAATTGTACAATATCAATTATTTTATTAAATTATACTAATATTTACATATCAATAGGATTCTGATGCAATTTCGAACTAGAAAAGCGCATTGTTGGACAATTACTGACAAAGATCTGCTGAAATATTTATTGTTTGGTGTTATTGTGGTCATTGTTTACCTAGCTGCCTGGACTGCAGTAAGTCTTAATTTCTTTAATGAAGGATGGGTCCTCTTGATCCACGTTGAAACTGAAGATGGCTTATTGTACACTACTTGTAAACCACAGTGGTGGAATCACGTTACAGAATTCGGTAATTTTCTAGCTAAACTATACGATATTATTTTATACTAAGTTTTTTTTTTTTTTTTAATTTTATTACTGAACTATAATAAACTCTGGCTGCATTGGTCATTAGTTATATACAATTTATTTTTTTAAATTACATTATATAATTTTATTTTTCTTGAGAATACAATACTTATAATAGAGTGTTAAAATTTAAAATTGTATAATATTAGATTTCATGACATCTTAGTGTTATACAGATGAGGAAAATACTGTAATTACATTAAGCGTATGGTATTATCTTATATTGTATTAAGACGTGTTATATCTTTAAAACAGACTAGTCTCATACCACGCGATTATACACATGKCAATATTAATTCTTCTTCTTCTTCAGATTTTTTTTTTATGGGCCATTAAGGCCCATCACTGCTCCACACAGCCTCCTCCATTCCTCTCTATCATTTGCCAATTCTTCCGGGTTCTCAACCTTAATCATTCTGAAATTCTGGTTGGGCTCATCTATCCATCTTTTCTTCGATCTGTTCAATGGCCTTTTGCTTTCCGAATTACAGTTAAGCGCATCCTTCTTTATGTCAATCGATCTCCATACGTGTCAAAGCCAGCACATTTTCCTGCCTTTAAGTGTTTGTATAATTTCAACTTCTCCTAATAGGTCTTTAATTTCTTTGTTGGGTGTTATTTCATATTCACCTGTTTGGTCATTTTTTTTTGTTGGGAGGGGGAGCGGGCCAAAAATGCGACGTAAAAATTTCCTTATTTAAACTGGCAGTTTTCTTTCGTTCTTTTTTGACGTTTTGCACGCGTACAGAATTACTGGTTTAACTAAAACCTTGTATAAYCTCATTTTTGACTTTTTTGATAAAACTTTGGACTTGGAGGTTTTGTGTAACGCGAAAAACACCTATTTCCATCTTTTACTCCCAGATTTATTACCTCATGGTAATTGTTTTAACTATTTATATTCACTCCAAAATATTTAAAGCTTTCTATTTTTTCGAAATTATAATTTCCGATGTCCAAATTTCTGTTTTAGTGTARTTGATTACCTCTCTTAACTAACATAAATTATTTAGTCTTCCCTTCATTTATCATTAGTCCCATACTCGGCGCTCTGGTTATCCGCTCCTTCGTTGTGGTTTTTATGTCCTCCTCATTTGATCCAAGTATCACTACATTATCGGCGTAGTCTAGTAATGCATGCAGGACCATATTTACACATGGGAAAAATAGACATTTGTCCTGGGCCCACGTAGCCAAAGGGCCCACCACTGACTAACCCTGACAATGCAATATATTACACATGGCTCAATTTATAAATWACGTACGTATATATGGCCCAATTTTTTATTTAGTCCTGGGCTATAGGTTTGAGAAATCAGGCTCTGAATGCATGCACTTTTCCATTGAAACTGACACCATTCGCTATTTCTTGAACATTCCTTATAACTTGCTTTAGGACAATATTAAATAAAGCCAGTGGGCATCCCCTTGTTTTAAGCCCACTGTTGTCTCGAATTTTTCTGAGTAATTGTTTCCGAATTCGATTTTACATTTTAATYCTTCAATGCATGCTTTCGCCATTTTGACTAATTTCGATGGTATACCGAACTTTTCCATGCTTCTTTACAGTGGCTTTCTCTTGATAGAATCGTATCCCTGTTTGAAATCTATAAACAGTAGGTGTAATGGCTTATTGTATTCGTAATGTTTTTCTATTAACAGTCTTACTGTAAACACGTGGTCAACTATGGATTTTCCTGGTTTAAAGCCACATTGGCAATTTATTTCGTATATGGTTTCAGTCTATTTAATATAACATTCAATAATATTTTATAAACTGTATTGTGTAGCGATATACCCCTGTAATTATGATAGTTTTCTGGGCCACCTTTTTTATATATGGGACATATTATTACTACCTTCCATTCTTCTGGTATCTGTTCTTTTTGCCATTTTTCTTAATTAGWTAACACATATCATTAACAATTAGTTCCCCTCCATTTTTTATAAGTTCAGCTCCTATCTCGTCCAGAGCTTTTTTTTATTATTTAGCATTTCCATTGCTTCTTTTATTTTTTCCTTCCCTGATATGCATTAGTATTGTTCTACCGTTGTTAGTACAGAATTATCCTGTCTTTGGTCTTCTATTTCTGGTTGGTCCAGCATTTCTTGGAAAACTCTATTGAACTCTTCAGCAATGGATTTTTCTTCCGTTATCAGTTCATTATTCTCATTTCTCATTATTGATAATTTTGGTTTATATGATTTTCTTATTGCGTTAGCTTTTCTAAAAAACATTTTAGAATCTTTGTAAAACTCTTCCATAGCTTCGATCTGTTGTTTATCACAGTATCTTTTTTCTTTTCTTATTACTCTTTTCATTTTTYTCGGTTTTTGGGCAAGTCTTCTTTCACTTTTTATACTTATTTCCATAACCACCAAGAATTTTGCTTTATCTCTTTCTTGTATTGCTTTCTAACAGTATTCATTATACCATTTTTGGTCTTTTTTCTGTTTACTATACCGATTTTTTTTTCTGTAACCTCTTTTAATTGTGTCCAGTGTTCTCGATGTTATGAATTTAAGTTGTTGTTCACTTTTGTCTTTTAATCTTTTTCTATATTTATTATCTATCTGTTCGTCCTTCAATTTATCTATATCTAACTTGTCGAAAATTTTTATTTTTTGATTCCATTGTGTTCCAGTTTTATATTCAATCTTATCTCGACTAAAAACTGTTTGCTAGTAATATTATACTGATAAACAACTACTTTGGTGTTAATATTTAATATGACAAAAGTCTGGTATAAAAAAAAAGTATACATATTATATAAGCCAGTGACAAGTGTGCYGCGGCTAAATATGGGTTGGGATTAGAGTGCCGCGAGGGAAAAAGGTTGGAAAACRCTGCACTACGACATGGTCTACCTGATTTTTTGTATGACCATCAGGAGACATCCAGGATTGTTTATGTATTTATTTGTGAGTGAAATACGAGCTACTAATAGYCATATTTTTTTATATCGCAAAAGAGATAAGTATGCTCTCATTATCATTTAATATTTCGTGTAGACTGTGTTCCCCATTTGAGGGGGTTTGAATATTTGTTCCTTACGAATTTYTGTGTTCTCCTATTATAATCTTTCTAGTCCTATGGTTGTAGATTCCTCCTTAGTTTGGACCTCTTTATCCTCARTTGGAGCATGACAGCTTATTACAACGATGTTTTTCCTACGACCAWTTACACTCCAAATATAGAATGCAAATTCTTTCGCTATGTGTTATGAAGTTTCTTWCAAATGGTAATATGCTGTTGTTTACTATGAACCCAACATCAGATTTATGGCTTTGACCACAACTATAGAAGACTGTCGCATCACGAAGTTTAATGTTTCCTGCATTCATCCATCTCATCTCTTGTATGGCTACTATTTCGCACAGATATCTCTGCAGTGCAGATAGTACTGTTGTCATTGCTCCCGCTGCATAAATTGTACGTACATAATATGTTCCTAAACCAAACTTTTGCAATTTTTATTTTCATCCGAGGCTTTTCTGTGTTTTGCTTCGGAACCAAGTTATTTTTATGAGTTGGGTGGTTAGTCCTACGTCAACCCCCATTAATGGATGTTCCAAGTTTTGAAGGATTTTCCCTCTCTCCTTACTGGGTACATTACTGGAGCCAGTGAGGAACTATTGCAGTATCGTTTCCCACACCGGGTGATGGTAGCGCCACTTTCCCTATGCCATTACCTACTGGAATCGTCCACCTGAGATTTTCCACCAGTAGAAGCTCGGGATCCCGGGTTCGCTACACCCGTAGTACTAATTACTTAGTACCTCCAGGGGTCAGTGGCGTATTTAGGGGGAGATTGCCCCGGGCGCCAAATTTTGAGTCCCATAAGGTGGCACCGTCGCTAAAGGTTAAATTGTCTTCAATGTGAAGTTATAAAATAAAATAAATTTCTTTTATTGGATTTATTGAGAAATTATATAAATGCTAGCTGATGAGAGATAACCTGTATCATAAATACTTTATTATCATAGAACAATATAGAAGCAAAAATCGATCAGCTGATTGCGGTATTGGATCCCTATGATCTGAAGTCTGAATAAGGAAATGGTTTCGTACACCAACATGATGTTAGACCCAATGTTATCAATATTATGAAAATGTTTTCAAAACGATGGCGTGGTATTCTGCGCTGGATATGGTGGTAAGATAGTAAGATATAAATCTAGAAATGTAACTGTTAAAAGAGTATCAGTCATTCGGTGGTCTGCACGACATGATGCTTGCCTAAGTCTTTCTCATAATTGGAATGAAATTATAAAGGCTTTAAATATTATTATAAATAGTTCAATAGAAATATTAAAAACCAAATGCGAAGCCATAGGTTTGTTGAAAARWCTGAAGAGCTTAGAAATGTTAATAACTAACTACACTTTGGAATGATATATTGGAAAGATTCAACTGTATTAGTAAAAACTACAGAGTGTTCAAATTGATTTAGCAACAGTTGTGTCTTTGCAAAAATCATTAATTAATTATATTGGAGACTTAAGAAATAGTTTTTCATTCTATGAAAAATTAGGTTAAGAAAAATCTGGTATCAAAAAGTACAAAATTGAACGAAAAAGAAAAAAGAAAATGCTTATTGAGAGTAAAATCAAGATAATCCAACATTACAGCAAAGCTATTCATTTAGAATAAACACTTTTACTGTTATATTAGATTCATTACTTACAGAACTAAACCAATGAAGAATGCTTATGTTATAGTTAATATTAAATTTGGTTTTTTATTTAATCTAACCAAATTGCCACTATCCAATATAAGAAAACAATCTACACAGTTGCAACAAGAATATCCAGAGGACCTTGGTTCATCATTATCTAATCATTAGAAAATGAATGTATACACTTTCGTGGTAATTTATCTGAGATACAAGAGAACAATTTGCCGATAACTTTTTTAGATTTGAATAAAATATTTAAAGATCCTAATATATCTAGTTTGTATCCGTACATTGAAATAGCATTACGTATGTTTTTATGCTATCTAGTATTAAATTTCACTGCGGAACGATCCTTTATTACACTAAAAAGAATAAAATCATACTTAAGATCAACTATGGATGAGGATATACTCTATTCATTGGCAATTCTAAGTTTAGAATTTGAAATAACTACATCTCTATAATCATTAACTTATTAACAAATATATAATCATTGTTAACAAATCTGGTTTATTTCATATTTTAATATTATATCCTTTACATTTTTATACATATTATACTTTTATATATATATATATAAATAATGTAATTTAACATTATATTGTAAAAGATTTTTTGGCAATGATTGAAGGGAAATTTTGAGAAAAAAAGGAACCCAAAATTGTAAATACGCCACTGCTTGGGGTTCAACATTAATTCTAATAGCATAAATTATCACTTATTATTTTATATTTAAAAGAAAATCCTAATTAATTGTTATTGTTGGAATTAAAAAAAAAGTTGTTTGTTGTTATTTAAACAAAATCATATATTTTAAAATCCTTTTTCAAATGACAACAAAAACTGTAATGTTACTATATGATTATTTTGAAAAACGTCAGACAAAATATATTTATACTGTGTTCCAAATAAGAACTCATCAGGTGGCGGACCAAAATCGGTCGAAACTCACCCATGGCTCTCAAAAGTAGACACTGAAGACGATTGCAATCATTCATAGAACGAGTATACATTTCTATGGGGTCCGAACATCATATGAGTCATCTGGGATCTTATTTGGAATAGAAAATAGTTAAAACTATGATAAAAATAAAAATAAATTTTGGCTCGAAAAATATGTTTTAAAAGTTAGTTCAAAAATAAAACCTAATTATGAAAAAGATTTATTTATCTACAGGTGAACTATTGATTTTAACCATGGGCTTATATTATGGAAATTCAGCACGTAATGCCCGTGTTCAGTTTGAAGAACGGCGTTTTCTTTTTTACGCAATCATAGCGGAATTAACGTTTAGTACTATCCATAATGCTATCCGTACAGTGAATCCAATACTATTCCACCAAGATGTGACATTCATAGCTGCCTTTTTACGCAGCCTGTTGACAAACACTCTTGCACTGATCATCATATTCGCACCAAAGGTATGATCTATGTGTATAAATATATTCCACGTTTTCCAGGAAAATAATTGTTTTCATTTGTATTTTTTAATGTATTTGTAATATTCCTACGACGAATTAAATGTTTTTTGTGCCGTCGCAAATCCGGTGCTTTCTTTTAGTAWATAAAATGTGTAAATTTGGAAATCAGGTTTAAGTGTCTAGCTGCTAGACTCTAAAAACAGTCACCTCAAGTAAAAATYGATTTAMATACAATATAATCACTTAGATAGGTGTTAGGTAGGCGTAGATTCGTGAATAACATGCAAATAGTATATGAGGTAGGTAATCCACCAGTGGTGAATTGCGTACACGACGTTGAATTACAGTTAATGCAACGTAGTCAGAGCTTTATGTTGTATATTAATATAAAATACAGTCTAATTTATTTAAACGGTCCTTGTGAAAAACGTATAGTTACTTTTCGGTACTTTGATCCCATATGTCTAAATTGTTGGTGGTCACTGTTATGATCATGGAGCCTAGTTAGGCGTTGTTATGATGTGTGGAATGGGTTAAGATAAAAATAGTTAGATGATTTTGTACGAATAATGTCATGTCAAGAAATTTATTGTCTCCTGAAAAATTAAAAAAATTGACTCTATTCATTTTCACAAAGGCCGTTCTTTTAATCAGTACCCTACGCGTGCATTTACAAATATAAATTCTTACTTTTTWAATTTAAAACAAGAGATTTTTAATTTTTATCCAAACGTCCAATCCATAGATTTTAGTTTAATTCTTAAATTATAAGGCAACGATCATAATTAAGCTCATTAAGCTAAAAAAAAAATCTACTCAGAAATGGAAAACGCATATTTAAGTGGCCTTGTTGGTTTATAAAAAATAAGTAAAATTAGTGATAAGAATGCATTACTGTAATTATTTGTAATATAAATATTTTTCTTCATTAGATATGGTATCAAAAAAAAGTTAACGCGGAACTCCGGCATTCGGCTTTAAATCAAGAACTTTCAGAATCATTAAAAGCTGACCTGGCAGATAAAGACTTCAGAGAAATGAACATATCGGAGATGACATCGGATGAAATAAGGGTGATATTTTTAATTCAAAAATAATATCATTGATTATCCTTTTMAGTTAAAATAATGCACAWAGACATTGTCACGGATACCTAGGCAATAATTAAATTACTTGGTTTTTATGTCAGAATAGATATTATTTCCTAACCATTTTCAACAATGTTTAATAAATGTAGGAAAATCTAATGTAAGGTAAAACGTAAAACTAAGATTACCAAAAATCTGAATATTGTCTAGGCATCAGTTTTAATGGTTAATGCTCTTTAGGTTGTGAGATTATAGGGCCTTAAAAACTCTATAATCTCACATATGTCGACCGTGACAGGACCTTTGGCGAGTTAAAACCACCTACCCTACATCTTCATATTTCAGCATTTTAACAGTCGTCATAGTTAATATAATAATGGGGAAATACTAACAGGGAAATATTTAAATAATAAATGAGAACATATAKTWATGTTATATAAAATAAAGAATATTGTTTTAGTTCGTTTTAAAGACTAATCACGGAGAAACATTTGAATAAAACCCGGGAAAGTATAGTAGTATACACCTTAGAGTTGAAAGGACATAATAAATAGTTACTAATGGCAAAACTCATTGCAAAAAAAAAATTGATTTTAAAATTGTTGTTGAGAAAGAGAATAATAATTTAATTTTTATTATAACTGACATTTCTTGATTGATAATATAATGAAAATTTAACTTGTGATAAAAGTCAATCCTGAACATGTGGATATAATAATTTTAATACTAATAATTTTTTTTTTCAACTGCCAAGGTATACAATGTGTTCTGAAGGAACATAATATAATAATATAGCAATCCGCGGATTGAAGATACAATGGAATAAAATACTAATAATGTGACAYGTGGTCATGAGAAAAAATATAAGTTAAAATATAATACATTATATATAATATAATACTGGCCATGTGGTCTAGGGAAATCATTGGTTATCGCGCTTTAAGTACAAAAATGAAACTAACAGTGTTATGCAAGAGAGTGAATATCGGGCCAGGGAAATATAATAAAAAGGGGGGTCACATAGGGAAAATAATTATAATAATACCAATAGGGAAAAAAGACGGGTCGTTAGCAGTGTCCGGTCGTCCAGTCGCCGCAGCTATCAGCCCATACCGTCACCGTCAGAACGCCACAGCCGTATCCAAACCAACACACACTGACA